CCCCCCCCCTCCCCCCCCCTCGTTGTGCCCCCCACCCACCCTGCCTCCAACTTGACAACAACTCACTTGGTTTCCAGGAGATGCAGGCGTCGCTCTGGAGTAGGCCTCGCGACGTGATCGAAAGCGAGGTAGGACACCAGCAGTTCCTCCCCCGGCTCCACGTCCGCGATCGCTGTCACCACCATCCTCCCGTCATGCACGTGGTAGCTGAATCGAACCGAATCGAACCGAATCGAGCCGAAGGGTTGAGGGCAAGGTACAGAAGCCGCCGGTCGCAGTTGTGGTGGACGAACGGGAGGAGACTCGAACGTGTGTATGTGTGTGTGGAGGGTGCAACACTCATGCCGGAGGGGGGCGGGGGGCGGGGGGCGGGAGGCTACTAATGTTTTGCATGCACGCCTCAGCGGTTAGACCATCGACTACGCGTTCTCTCGACGAGCGTTGTTTCCACAGAACCGATCACCGATGGCCCAATCCTTCCTTCCTGGTTTTGGACAAAACGCGGGTCGAAAATGGTGTCCCTACCCTGTCTGTCTGCGGAGGGGGAGGGCAACCTCCAATAGTTTCGCTCGCCTGGCCCCGTGTTCTCGGACCACCCACCGTCGTTGGCTATTCCCCGGGAATCTGACGCACACACCAAGGAAGAGCCGTCTACTCGGCAAGTTCCGACCGATGCCTCCCTAAAATGCCTTCCAGATCTCAAAAAACATTATCAGTAGATGGTTCTTCTCGAAGAGGGATTCCGGGACCTCAGCCGAAGGCGAAGGCGGCAGCGGTAGCGGTAGGGGTAGCGGTGGCCAAGCAAAGGGAAACCAAGGTGGTTGGTTCGTCACCCGGGAGGTGCGTACACCTACAGATTCTGTCGATCTTTCGGGGTACGTACGTGAGTGCCTCACCAACACAAGACCGATACATCGTGTGCTGTTACAACGTGTTGGGACGTGGGACGTGCGACGGGGGGGGGGGGCGTCCGCCCACTACCCGGAAACTCTCTGTCTACGGTTCGACCGCATCCGTGGTTCTCACACAAGGATTGTCTTGCTCGTCTATCTCCTTGTGCCTGTGGTCCTATTGGGATGATACCGCTCACTTGTTTATCGCCACGCTCCAATTTTCCCGCCACAAACATTTTCACGTGCGACACGCAACCTAGTGGGAGGGGAGGGCGGCAAGGACGCTTCACTACGCGCTTGTGAAACGACCGTCCGCTCGTTGCACTCGCCTGCAGTTCGGAAGGCAGCTGTGGTTTATCCTGCAACCCAGCCAGAACAGTGACCGAGGTCCGTTCTCTGTTCATGAACCAAAACAGATGTTGCGGGCAGTGGGAAAGCGGAAGCACGCAAAATAGACGTAAGAGAGCGAGAGATGATGAGGGAGTCAAGGAGGCGGAGAGAGAGAGAGAGAGAGAGAGAGAGAGAGAGAGAGAGAGAGAGAGAGAGGAGAACCAGTTCGTGTATTGTAGATGTGGCGGAACGGGACTTGGTGAGACGTGCGTGCGCGCGAGAAATCGGCGTGCAGTTTTTCTGTCCGAACAAAGGTAGAAAAAAAAAAAAAAAAATAGACGGGCGAGAGAGGTATGACGATACCCTGCTTCATCTGCGAGCATTTGCGCACTTTGAGAACGAGCTTAGGCGTCCCAAGAATCCCAAACGAGATATTCAGGTGCAAGAAAATAACTGTTTCCCATGTACACCACCGCCATAGAAACGCCAGTGAACCCCTCCCTCGCTGCGAAGCGTCCGACGACAGACATGGTCCGCAACAGCTTGCGCCTGGGTGTGCAGCTCACGCCACTCGCGAAGGAACATCTCTCCCGGTATGTGGCGTACTCCTAGTAGGACACATGCTTCTGCCCCCTTCACACTCGCCTTCGTTAGCTCCCTCTCCGAAGATGTTCGCGTCACAGATCATCAGCACCTTCAGCAGCAACGACCGCCGGTCCCTGCCGAACCCCCCCCCTTTACCACCACCACCACCACGGCTCCCGGCGTCTTGAAGGAGCCCGGCACCTTGCCCATTTGCTGATGGCGCATCGCAGCTGCTGCTGCTGCTGCTGCTGCTAGTAACGGCGGGACGGAGCACACCCATAGCTGTCGACAACTTGTCCGAGAAGATTTCCAATGCATGGAGACGGCCTTGGGGGATATCTTCGATGTCTGGCAAGAACTGCACGCGCGTGCACAGGTAAGGGTGTCTGTCTCATCCATCAAGAGGGACTCGAAATAAACCGAGGTGTACCATGCGCAGCTACATGGCAACAGCAATGGCCGGTGACAAGCCGCAAAGAGCAGTAGCAGCAATAGCCCAAGCAGCACGAGCGGCACGAACAGAAACGACACGACGCCACAACAAGCCGCCCGGCTTGGGAGCTCTCCGCCACACGCCCAGATCCCGCGTGCCCCCCCTCACTCTTAAACCCGCACGGTAACCCCCCGGCACTCTTTCAAGCCAAGAGGTCTGGGACGTGGCGTGCTTGCAGCCTGCTTCCGCCAACCACGGTCGCACGTCAGGTGGGACACCAAAGCCCTGCGAGAGCCAAAGCCTCCTCCTTCCTGCTTCGCCAGCAGCACTCAGCAGGGCTCTCAACTTCTCTCAGTGCGAACCCGGCCGTCACGCTACTGACCCCAGGTATCTGCATAGCTGCAGGAAGCCCGGCTGAACCCGCCCCGTTTCTCTCTCTCATCCTAACAACGTCGTCCCCCAACAACACGACTCACCAGCTGCAGCACTCGCTCCTGCACGGAGGGAGGGGCGCCTTCAAAGGCTACCACTTGCAGCAGGTCCATCGCCGACACCCCGCAGCTCTTGCTCAAGAACTCTAAGGCCGCGACCACTTCCCATGGCCGCCGTCCCACCTCCTCCTTGGAAACCCTCAGCAACGCCTCCTCTTCGAACACCACGTCTCCCACCTTAAGCCCGGCCTTGCAGAACACGCCCAGGCCAGCCTGCCCCGCCGCCGCCGCCGCTGCCGCTGCCCCCGCCCGCCCCACCCCCCGAGTGTTTGCCGTGGCGGAACGCCCCGCGCGGCTCGCCTTTACCTCGACCGGGCATCGCATGCGCGCCGCCGTCGTCGGGGAGAGGATTGCCGAGGGATCGTCGCTATCCGTACCGCTGTAGAAGTCGTCGTCCCCATCGCCGTCAGCTTTAACCCGGAGAGGCTTCGGATATGTCGCTGCTGCCGCCGGCACCACCCCCACCACTGCCGCCGCGGCAACGTCGGGTTTGGTATCACCGACCTCTGAGAAGGCGGTGGCGGGTGGAGTCGGCTCGGCGCCACCGGCAGCGTCTGCTCCGATCCCCGTAACATCGTCTCCTCCTTGCTGTACCTGTCGCGCGCTTTCCGCGCCGACTCGATCTCTCCGCGAAGCATCGTCTCGCGACTGCTGCTGCTGCTGCTGCTGCTGCTGCTGCTGCTGCCGTTGGCGGGGGTCCCGCTGTTTGTCTTGGCCCCCTGCTTCCCCTCCTCCGCTTGGCCGTGTGGTCGCATCGCCCGCCTTTGGGAGCCCTCTCTGCCCCTGCTCGGATGCCGCCTTCAGCCCTTCGGGAAGCAGGTCGCGGGGAACGTCGTTCAAGAACGACCACCGGGTGCGGCCCGGATACCGTGGCGGAGGCGACGGTAACCGTCCCCGACTCACCACACGCAGCAGCGCCATTTGGAATTCTTCGTCGACTGCAGGTCGGGAGAGGGGGAGAGCGGGGGAGAGAGAGACAATAGGGCGGGAGTGAGAGATTGAGAGAGGGAGGGAGGGAGAGATAGAGATAGAGATAGAGATAGAGATAGAGATAGATAGAGAGAGAGAGAGAGAGAGAGAGAGAGAGAGAGAGAGAGACACACACAGACAGACAGACAGACACAGAGAGAGAGCAAACAAGCTGGAGCATTGGCCAACGTGCGCGCATGCACGCGGAAGCACAAGCGACCCCAAGAGGATAGCGAGAAGGGATCCTCGAAAGCAAGGACATTGTGTCAAAGCAACTTACGAGCTTCCGCCGTGGTACCGAAAATCGCCAAAGCAAGACCCCAGGACCTTTCGAAGGTAAAAGGTTCTCAATAGCCACCCGGCGAACTGGTTGAGCCGAGCTTCTCTAGCTGATAGAGAGAGGAAGAGGAAAAACCCACCGATCATGGCAATGAAATATACAGAGCCTCCGCCCCTGGCATCCCCAGGGTACCAACTGGCATCCCAACGTAGCTTGAGAACGTCAATTGACTTAGAGAAGCCTCGGGTAAAAGCCGTGCACTCCTCTACATTTACTTGATATCGGCGATGAGTTCTACATGAATCAGTAGATTCGCTGCCATCTTATCTGGCCCACCTCGGCAGTATTTTTCACGTCCCAGCCTCTACCCACGACGCGCGATACAGATGCGCCAACTCACCTATGCGTGGACAAGCGAGTGCAGCTGATTCGGACACTATTCCCACGACAATCACTGCATGTACACTGTTGCACCTTGTGCTCGGACCGTAGCCCCCCTGCGCCGTGGGCCACCCACACATAACACACAAACACATCGAAAGTGGGTCATCAGAACAAGTGATCGCAACGTTGTGGCTCACCATGCAAAACCTCAACGTCGTGCTTTCGCAAGTCGATATCCGCGGCGGGGGCCATGGGTGTGAAACCGCCCGGTTGTTCTCCCGACCGCCGCCGTCTCCGACCGCCACCCCTTCGGCAAGAACCCCACGTGGAACTCCGACTCCCCCTCGGCGGCAGCGACGGCCGCCGATTCCCGGCCCTCTTTTTGCCGCGCTGTGCCCCCCCCCCCGCCCCCCCGCGACCGTGTGCCTCTCTGCTCCGTGCTTATCCTCTATTGTGGGTGCAGTTCTAGCACAATGGTATCTGTTTACGGAACTCGGGTATGAGTGACGCAGATATGACAGACGTGGAGAGGGTTTGTCCGGCGGGGGTATGCAGGAACATCGGACCAGCCACGCATTGTCGATACTCCATCGGCCTCGGGTGTTCATTGTTTAACATCGGCAACTAATAATGCAGCAAACACACAAAACATGAACCGCACAAGCGCATAATTATCGAACGGGCATCTGCCCATGCTGACACAAAACAAAATTCTACTTTGAACACTACGCGGCCGTTCGTGAGGGCTAGAGAGAGAGAGAGA